GGTGGGCTTCCACGAATTAAAGGACTGCCAGGTCTAAAATGGAAACATTACAGACAGTTATGACTTGAACTGGTTCATAACGTTCTTCCAGTGATTGCTGAGTTTGTACCCATCGTCTCGGTTGAAATTGTGTCTATGTCTGTATAAATGGATGGCTTCATGAACTAATCTTTGTTGATAGCCAGTGGGTTTGCAAAGTACCTTCGTCTTAAAAACCAGGCTCCAGTCTACATTATAGACTGGTAGTATGCTCACTCAGATTAAGAACCAGGCTACAGTCTACATAATTGTTTTTTCTTTTAATTATTTTTATTTACTTTTTTATTTTTATTTTTCTACGTGACTTTACCGAAAGAACCAATGAATATGAATTCCTGCAGTCACGAATGATTTCAGTAAAAAATTTAAGAGGCTACTTCACCACCATCTTGATCAGCATCACTCACTGGAGCCCACCTGAGTGGAAGCCTTTTGAGGGGGTCTGGGGTTTGGTGGATCACGAATATTTGTGAAACTCAAAAATAGCTGTAAAGTAGCCAGATGTTGTACATTAAGCGGGTTCGTTAAACCGCCTTTGTGGCCCTATATGTGCCTTGCCTCTGTCTGTCAGTTATTTTTCGGTTGCTAGGCTGGACACTGTTGTGGGTAGAACAGAGTAGAGCATAACAATCCAATGTTTTACTGCAATATGTACATCTGTCTATAGATCCCACGTCTACCACCAACCGGTATTGGCCAGCATGGAGAAGTATGACCAAATAACCCCCACGAACCGCATGACCAGTGGATCATTTTATTTTTTTATTGTGAATAACTGCGTGCGTTGAAATGGGTGGCTCGTAGATGAATAGCTCCGTCCATAGCAGAAATACCCAACTTTACCGATCTCTTTTAACATCTTACCCCGTTTTACTCCACCAGCTAAAGCCTTTGGTTTTTTAATCATTCATAAACTTCACAGCCAACCACGGTCTTCTTTGCCCTCCAACAACTTCATGTACTGGGACTGCATAGCACGGGCTGTGGCAATGCGTGTCTGAAATCCAGCACTGGATTTCATTGGGAGGGATCCCCTGAAATCCAGGTGGATCACTCCCTTCCCCCTGGTCACCGAGGTCACCATACCCTGGCTTGCCAGCAGATGGCAGTACAGCAAGTGGATCAATCTCCACCTCCTGCATCGCATGAGATGTGTCTGCGGACTCGGGTTCCCTCCCGCATGTACAATCACTCATTACTGGAGTTAGACAAACATCGCCATTTAGATCGAGGCGAGCTACAAATTTCGAACTCAACATGGAAAGCGTGTGTGCATTCATGCTTTTGCATACACAGACATACAAAGACACGTACCAGTGCATATACTTACAAAGACAATGATCCCCCATGTAATCTCCATAGACAGGTCAGGCCAGTGTTGTAAGCAAGCACCTTTTAAGGCTATGGGGGATGAGGCTCACGCAATGCCAGGCCACGTTTATCTCCCTAGTGTGGATGTTTACACATCGCATTCGGCACTCGTTTCAGAGATAATCAACACTGATGTTAGAGCACAATGGCACCCACGCACCCTCCAACTCATACTACAGTCAGACAAGACTAAGACAAAGGTCCCCTTATAGCAGTAACAGACTGTTCGGGCAGTGGTATTGGCGAGTACCGATGATGACCGGAACAACACACCAGGGGTTGGTTGGCTAGCACCACGCCCGTCGGCCTTTGTCTCCCCAATGTTAATGTTTACACACCACAACAGATCGTCATTTGAGGCTAAGTTGACCAGGAGGAGGTCTAGGGCCGGTTCATTAAAGAGCTATATAGCTCGGTGGACTTTACCTGGTACAATAGAAATAGTTTGCTTTATGGATTTATGATGGCACGTGTTGACGGCTGATTGTAAAGATGGATCACAAAGGGGCAGCCTCGGAATGAATCCCATCAAAAAGACATCCAAGGAGATGGAGCGATGAAATCAGTTCGTGTAGAGCTGCTCGGTGTATTATTACAATGCAAGTTTGTGAGAGTTGGCCGCAGATTAAATAGGTCTACATCCAGCAGCAGATTAAGCATATCCGATGATGAATTTAAACTAAGAGCATACACTCTTATCTTTAATTTATGAAGCGTCTACATACATGAAATGCCTCAATTGTGGCATGATGCCTCAATCTCTCTATTTAAACGTGGTGACAGAACTGATGTGAAAAATGTCACACGTTAGACTCGTATTGCATGCGCGTTTATATATTCTTGGATGATAAAAAATGAATAACTAAATGCCAACCAACCAGTTGAAATGTTGTATATAGTTAACTGATTCACAGTGGGTGTCTATTACGTTTACTTTACGGAAATACATGGAAGGCGTCGCAATTTGGACTGAATTAGGCTGAGTTGTACGTGAGGGTAATAAGTAAAATACATTTGGCGATGAAGGGGAAAACTACAAAGTAAAATATTACACAAGACTGTAAAGGTTCGTCATTTATTGTTTATGTAAAACACCGATGAACTCAACGAACTTCCCTCATTTTTGTTTGATCATGGAGGAACTTTGCCTCTTTTTACCCATAGTAATTGTTAGGTGGCGATATCACGTACAGCAAAGTTTTACCTATCGTGGAGGTTACGTTTAAAAAAGAAATATTCCGACGGCAAATCTGCGAGAGGCAAATTGAACAACAATGGGAACACTCGGGTTTGGTTCATGGTTCGTCATACGACACCCCTCTCACTTCCTTTCATGGGATAAACCCAGACATTAAACATTAAGTATTTTGAATGTAAACTTTGATTAATATTTTCTCGTTTTTAACATATATTGTATAATAAATGTATAAAATGAAAGAAAAAGAAAGAATGATTTGAAGCTTTCGTGACTGCAGGAATCCATACTCTTTGGTTCTTTCGGTAAAGCCACGTAGGTATAAATTAAAATAAATTCGTCTTGGCCCACAACCTGTACAAGGTACAGTTAAAAATAGTGAGTGAGTGTCAAGTTCATGTCTCTTCTTATTTCTGAACAACACCTCAAGTTCCACAACGAAGTTGTACAACGGCAGGTTTGGTCCACAGTTGTAGCTCGCTCGCTGCCCTGCTGTTCGCCGCTTCTTCGCACCGTTGTCTGTGCATCGTGCTCGGGGCTCCCGAGCCGGCACGCTTGTGGTCAGCCGCTAGCTGCTCTTATCATCAGAGTATCAGTCACTTAGTCAACGTAACTTTTTCCAGCCTATAGCTTGGACACATTTCATGCACATTCGATAATTGTGGAAACTCAAATCTCCACTTAACTTCTCATGTCTTAGCTGATCACAGTATTATATGAAAATGCATTCGCATCCCTCTTAGCTTTTCACAACTCTTAGCTTAGTACAGTATAACTTCTCAAGGTCCTTGACTCTGCAAGTGACGCAAACCACTAGGAAAAACGTGGAATGAAACTTTCAGCGATACTCAGAGTCTGTCAACGCAGAACTCAACACTTAGCAACACTTAGCCTTTGCCTCTGCAAGCCTCGCCACGTATGGGTGACTTCGAGGACCATACCCCGGAGTTTGCCTCTGCAAAACTGACTTGTATGATTTTGTTATTTAGGGACTCTTCCCTAATACACATCAAAAACCCAAATGTCCTCCTATCACGTCCCTTGCATTGATCTGGTCAGCCGAGTTAACCCTTTTTCTGGATGTCTGGACATACTGACACCTGATGTCATAACCCTTATAAAACTCCCCTCCCTCCCTCCAGAGGTCATCACAAGATTGTGTGAACACAGATGTTCTTAATTGTGTGTGTGAGTGAGTGTGTGAGTGAGTGTAAGTGTGTGTATTTGAGTGAAACTGGATGCGTAGCGGGGTGTAGGCTGCTCAGCACCCGAGGGGTGCTGTGCTGTCACCTAAGCGGTTCTCCCGGGACGCTGCGAGGATTTGTTGGCTGCAAAACCCGCGACGGATCACGCTGCCTGCCTGGCCTGGAGCAATTGCGCCTCACTGAGGACTGAGCCGTCACTGCTGCTGCTGCACCGAGAAATGAGCCGTGGACATCGTGGGAACCCCCTTCACTCGCATTAGTGACCTTGTAGAATGAAGCTTTCAAACTCAGTGTTCGGTTTTTATCCGTTAGTCGGAAACGCAGACGAGTCCAGGCCGTGTTCAGTGCAATTCAGGTCCGGTGTTCCCACGAGTCCGACTGGGGTAGAGTCCAAGGCAGGTAGAGTCCAAGGCATTCGTTATCTGATGTGAACAACCCGCAGAGCCCAGGAGAGCGTCTCCGGGTTTAAGTAAGCATTTAGAGTACAGTATTTAGAGTATTTGAGTACAGTATTTAGAGTATTTGGCTGCTATACATTTCCAAAATGATGAGCCACTTTGTTGAGCTATCATTTGTGATGGGCAGGTCGCTTTAGGAAAATAAGCGAATAGCTCAGTGGGGCATTACACCTGGTAAAATAAAAAAAATTTGTTTAGTTTTATTTGTATTCTTTTTATCATAATATTGGTGAACGCTGATGGGCATTTGTGTTGCTGCGTGTGCGTGGATATTGAGTAGCCGTGAGTGTGAATGTGAAACAACAACGCAGGTGAAGTAAGCGGTGTGAATGGTCGGCACGGGGATCTGCAGTCTCAGACAAGGTGAGAATGAGAGACGGTTACATATCCAGCAGTGGGTGATGGAGGCAGGTAGAGTTGGTGATAGATTCACACTGCTGGCAAAAAGGCTCAAGATTCCAGGATGGGTAACGGGAGTCTGTGACAAATTCCATCTCGGATGCCACAATGACATTCAAGCAACTCGTCACGTTGGGGTAATGCGACTCAGATGGAGGTACAGGACATCATGAGATATCTCCAACTCTACCAACTATTTTTTTATTTTATCAGGCCAGACTCACTGAGCTGTGTAGCCCGTTTGCAGAAGCGACCTGGCCACAAATGATAGCTTATCACGTAGAAATATATTGCAGCCAACTACTCTAAACACGTGATGTTGATTGTAAATGTGGAGGGAAAAACCAGAGAGAGAGAAAGAGGCAAACTTTAAATATAAAGCAGGCGTCAGGGTCGGGATCAAACCCACCAACTCTTGTATACCAACTTTCTGTAGAAGTATGAGTTTATCTCTCGACACTCATCTCAATAATGAGCGACCACAGTTGAGCCTCGCTGAGTTATATTAACAATAGCACTCATTTCTGTAAGTGTCAAGGTGTGTCCAGTAGCCGTGTTCACCTTAAGGCTGCTGTTTGTGCACCTAGGGGCACGTGTTCCCATTCCAGGGAGTATCTCGTGATGTCAGTGACGACAATGAAAACATTTTAAAGTATTTTACTTCCTTCTTCACCGTCGCTATAAGAGAGAGGTCCTGGTCCAGCGTCTCTTTGAGCCACATAGCGGACGATCCCATCGACGCCTTGGGTCATGGCGAGTGCGACTCCCAGTGAGAGTGTGGATAGTGAGCTGTGCTGCTCCATTTGCCTGGACACGTTCGTCTGCCCCTCCACGCTGAGCTGCGGACACTCGTTCTGCCTGCGGTGCCTGGAAGCCGCCTGGGAGACGGCGAGCAGCTTCAGCTGCCCGCAGTGCCGAGCGAACTTCCCTGTGCGACCCCAGCTGAAAAGGGACGTGGCCCTTGCCAACCTGGCGGAGGAGTTCAGAGTTGGAGATGGGATGGCCACGGCCGTTGTTTGTGACATCTGCGGTGATGGCCACACTCCTGCAGTGAAAACCTGCCTGAGATGCGAGATGTCCTACTGTTTTTCCCACTACAAGCCTCACGTGGAGAATCCCAGATTGAGAGACCACGCTGTGGTGGATCCCACTGCGAGCTTGGATGAGCGAAGTTGCCCTCAGCACAGCGAGGAGCTGAAATTCTACTGCAGAGTAGACAGCAGCCTGGTCTGCTCATCTTGCACAATCGCAGGTGAACACATAGGACACAAGGTCCTGACGCTGAAGGACGAGCACGAGACACGGAAGGTGAGGCCTTCAGAGTGAGACACCGTAACACAATCTGACCAATTCTGTTACTCGGTTACACAACATCTGATGAAAAAAACTGTATTGTGTTCATGCTCTCCCTTTTGAATCTCTGTCTCTCTGCCATTTGAGGAAAGATCATCAGGATGTATTTAATCCTAGGCTTTCATTAAACATAATTGCCGTATATTATTTGGGTCTTTCGGTAAAGTCACGTAGATAGGTTCAAACAAAATAACAAAAGAACAAGATACTACGACGTTTCGATCGCAACACAAGTGGACGTATAAAGTAATTAAGTGGACAGAGATTTGAGACCGATATCACAGCCACCTGAGAAACATTTCTATTAGATTTATCTTATAAACTAGACAGTTGTGGTCACATGGGCCCATGGGTCCGAGTCGGTACAGACACCAAGCAGCACGGCTCCCACAACGAGGCATCAGCTTGCCCACTCCCCGTGCCCACCGTCTCAGTCACCGTACAAAGGCAGATGAAGGCCTTCTCTGTTGAGGGGTCGGTGTGGAGGGAAGGGCAGTGTTGAGGGATGGCTCAGAGGGCTGGAGTCTCCCCCAGGTGACGTCTCGTCTCTCACTACAGACACACGTTGGGGAGGAGACGCGAGTGGTGGAGGAGAAGAGGAAGGAGGCGGAGGAGTTCGTGAAGCGGATGGAGGCTGCTCGCAAGAAGGCGCAGGTACCAGGTCTGGCTCTTTGACCCCCGTGACCTCCACCCAGTGTGGAAGTCGTAGAGATCAAAATGCATTCGAGCGAATTTCGTGCAGCCTCATAACTTTGACGCCTCTTACTTTAACTATATAATTCACTTTTAAACTCAACATTAACTATGAGGGGGTTGCGCGTTAACCGCATTCGATAGCCACATTGGCGAGTCTGCCATGAGGTTGGGTTTCTCGGCATTGCGTCTTCCACTCTTGTGGCAAAAACATGTAGAGAGTGCCACGTATTGTCGGTGTGGAACTGTGGTGCATATCATGCTGTCCCTAATCGCGTCACCTTAGTTTATTTTAACTACAATTTTTTTTTATTTTACCAGGTAAGGTCCCACTGAGCTATGTAGATGTTTTCAGAAGCTATCCTGGCTTTCACAAACGATAGCATCTCAATAAAGTGGCTGACATGATGATCACGAAAAAATATATAGCAGCAGACCCATAGAGATGCATAGAGACCCATAGAGATAAAGAGGGACAAATAGTGATATAGGGACACAGATAGATACATAGAGACCCATAGATATACATAGGGATACATAATGATATATGGAGACCCATAGCGATACATAGGGACACATAGAGATACATAGATACCCATAAACTAAACTATTTTCATTTTGCCAGGTAAGGCCCCACTGAGCCATGGAGCTCTTTTCCAGAAGGAACCTGAATATCACAAATGATAGCTCATTGAAATGGCTACTCCAAATACAGTACTCTAAATGCTTGCTTGACCCCGGATACACTCTTGCGGGTTGTTCACAGCAGATAACGAATGCCTTGAACTCTAAATCAGAGTCGGACTTGTGGAAAAACCAGACCTGGATTACGCCGAATCAGATGTGGAGAGAAAAGCCGGAGGTCTCGGACAAAAATCCACGCAGGCATCAGGGTCGTTCTCGAAGCCACGACCCCCTGTACACCAGGCGAGGTAGTTCACATCTCGCCACATCTCGTCGGACCCCCGAGGGCGCCCCCACCGTACTCCGAGTGACGAGTCTCAACATCCACGACCCCAGCACCCTCTAGGGGAAAAACAAGAAGAGAGCAGCACCCCTCTTGCCTCCTTGGCATGGATCGGACTCAGTCCCATGGGTGTCTCGTCACTGGGGCATGATTCACCACTAGGGAATATTATTTTATTATTTTGCCAGGTAAGGCCCACTGAGCTGTGTAGCTCTTTTTCAAAAACGACCTGGCACTCACAAATGATAGATCAACCAAATGACTGACATCATCATCATCACGTAAAAATGTATATCAGCAGCCAAATAATCTAAACGCCTTTAGATACATAGGGACCCATAGAGACCCATAGTGATAAATAAGGACATATAGATATACAGGGAGACCCATAGATATACAGAGAGACCTCTAGAGACCAATGGAGACCCATATATAAAAATAGGGACACAGAGATACATAGAGACCCAGAGACTTTTCTTTACTTTTTTGCAGGTAAGACCCCACTGAGCTATGTAGTTATTTTTCAGAAGCAACCTAGCTATTACAAATGATAGCTCAACAAACTGGCTGATTTTAAGTTGGAAATTTATAGTAGCCAAATAATCTAAATGCACTTCGTTGATCCTAAATGTGGAGGCAAAAACCGGAGGACCCAGAGAAAAATCCATGCAACGACAGAGAGAACAACAAACTACAAATATACAGGCATCAGGGTCGGGATCGAAACCACGACCTGCTGCATACCAGGCGAGGGAGTCAACATATCTTAGCCACCACGGCGCCCACACGCACAAACGGAGTGGCTCATGGCTCAGGGAGTCAACCGTGGTCCCCGCGTCTCTGCAGGAATCGGTGGCCGGGATCAGGGGTCGCATCACGGGCAAGTTCGCCCGCCTAAAGAAGGCTTTGGACGAGGACGAGAGGGAGGCTCTACGTCGCTTGGCCGTGAAGGAGCGAGAGCTGCTTTCCAGGATCGAGGAGGACATCGCTCGTCACAAGCAGGAGATCGGCGAGCTCCAGGCGGCGGCCGCTCGCCTGCGCACTCTGCTGCACGAGAGGGACTCGCTCGCCTTCCTGCAGGTGGGGAGCGACTCTGTGGAGACGCCGTTTTGGTGTCTAGAACAACTGAGCGGGCAGTGGCAGGGGGGCTCGTGGTCCAAGGGTAGAGACTTCACTCATGATCTCTCTCTCTCTTCCACAGGGGCACCTGGAGGAGACGCGCAGGTACAGATCTTTAACGTTTCACGGTTAAACAGTCACAACACAGGAATTGTGTGTTAGACACACGGGCTGTGTTTGTTAGACACATGGGCTCTGTGTGTTATACACAAGGTGTATGTATGTGTCTGCGAGACACTGACTGTGTGTGAGATAATGGCTGTCTGTGAGACACGTGCTGTGTGAGACATGGACTTTGTGAGACACGGGCTGTGCATGAGACACTGGCTGCGTGAGAGGCACTGGGTGTGTGAGACATGGGATGTGTGTGATACACTGCCTGTGCGAGACACTGTCTGTGTGTGACAGGGTCTGTGTGTGAGACACTGCCTGTGTGTGACGCTGCCTGTGTGTGAGACACGGGGCTGTGTGTGATACACGGGCTGTGTGAGAAACTGGCTTTATGTGAGACACGGGCTGTGTGTGAGACACTGCCTGTGTGTGACGCTGCCTATGTGTGAGACACGGGGCTGTGTGTGATACACGGGCTGTGTGAGAAACTGGCTTTGTGTGAGACACGGGCTGTGTGAGCGGTAGTGTAGCGGCTAGCGCGCTGTGCCGTGAACCCGGCGACCGGGGTTCGATTCCTGCTCACGGCCACCTCCTGTGACGATTATCTGAACCGGTCCTGGGCCTCCCCTATGGAGACTCAGCCTCAAATGAGACCAGGTGCGGTGTGTAAACATCGCCAACGTGGAGACAAAGGCGGTCGGGCGTGGTGCTGGCCACCCATCCCCTCGTGTGCCATTCCAGCTTTCATAGGTGCTCGCTAACAGCACTTGCCCCTACAGTCTGTTAAGGTTATATGGAGTATATTTGTCTTTATCTTTGTGTGAGACACTGCTTCTGTGTGACACGGGTTGTGTGTGAGACACTGGCTGTGTGTGAGACACGGGCAGTGTGTGAGACACTGACTGTGTGTGAGAAACGGGCTGTGTGTGAGACACGGGGTATGTGTGAGACACGGGCTGTGTGTGAGACACAGGCTGTGTGTGAGATACGGGCTGTGTGTGAGACACGAGCTGCGTGTAAGATACTGGCTCATTCAAACACGGGCTGTGTGAGACACTGGATGTGTTTGAGACACGGGCTGTGTATCAGACACGGGCTGTGTGAGACACTGGTTGTATGTGAGACACTGGCTGTGTGTGAGACACTGGTTGTGTGACAGACACGGGCTGTTTGTGAGGCACGGGTTGTGTGTGAGACACTGGCTGTGTGTGAGATACTGGTTGTGTGTGAGACACGGGCTGTGTGTGAGAAACTGGTTGTGTGTGAGACACTGGTTGTGTGTGAGACACGGGCTGTGTGTGAGAAATTGGTTGTGTGTGAGACACTAGCTGTGTGTGAGACACTGGCTGTGTGTGAGACACGGGCTGTATGAGACACTGGCTGTGTGTGAGACACTGGTTATGTGTTAGACACTGGTTGTGTGTGAGACACGGGCTGTTTGAGACAAGGGTTGTGTGTGAGACACGTGCTGCGTGTGCTACGGATGCTGAGTGTTCCAATGCTGTGGTTGAATGAGGCTGCGTGTGATGCTGTTGGTGGTTTTCCCAGGAGAGAGATCCCAAAGGAATCTGCAGCCCCACCTCCCACTTCACTGGACGCCACCACGATCCGCTCCCTTGAAAGGGCCATGCGCAGACTCCTGCCTCTCGTCTGTGAGTTCCTCAGTCTTGCACCCGCGTGTCCCGCTGTGTTGCACCAGTTAAGGAACCCACTGAACCATGTCGCTCTTTTTTCGGACGCGACCTGACTATCACACATGACAGCTCTTCGAAGTGGCTCATCACGTGGATATATATATAACATCAGACTAGCTGTACTACCCGGCTTCGCCCGGGACTTGTATCTACCACGGCCGGCCGCCTTTGTCTCCCCAGTGGCGATGTTAATACGCTACAGTAGTTAAGTTACTCGTTTGAGGCAGAGTCGACCTAGGGGAGGTTCAAATAATCGTCACCGGTGGTGGCCGTGAGCGGGAATCGAACTGGGTTTGCCGGGTTGGTAGCGCAGCGTAGCGTTAAGCACTACACCCACCGCTCCTCACACACCACACACGCACAGACACACACACAGACACACACACAGACACACGCAGACACACACAGACAGAAACACACACACAGACAGCACGCTAACCACTACACTACCGCTCCCCACACACCACACACGCACACACACAGACACACACACAGACACACACACAGACACACACACACAGACACACACACACAGACACAGGCAGCACGCTAAGCACTACACTACCGTTCCCCCTACACAACACACGCGCGCGAGTCCATAGGTACACATACACGCGCTTGCTGCAGACACACACGACTTTCAGGGTGCATACGGCAGTAAACGACTGAAATAATAAAGCGGCAATGCTGTGTAAGGAACGCCTTAGACCCGCATTATACATTTGTGTAATGCGAGCGTAAACACACAAACACACACAAACACATACACAATACACACACACATACATGCAGACACACAGACAGACACATAACACACATACATACACACACATACAAACACAGAAACACATACACACACATACATAGACACACACATACATACACACAAACACATCCACAGACGTACATACACACATACATACAGGCACGCAGACATACACATAAACACATACAAAAAAACCCACATACATACACACACACATACATACACACAAACACATGCACACACATACATACACACATGCATACAGACACACAGACATACACATAAACACATACACACATACACATGACCCTGCTTCGCCCGGGACTTGGATCCACCACGGCGGCAAAACCGACATACATACACACACAGACATACACACAAACACATACACACACATACATACACACATGCATACAGACACACAGACATACACATAAACACATACACATGACCCGGCTTCGCCCGGGACTTGGATCCACCACGGCGGCAAAACCGACATACATACACACACAGACATACACACAAACACATACACACACATACATACACACATGCATACAGACACACAGACATACACATAAACACATACACATGACCCGGCTTCGCCCGGGACTTGGATCTACCACGCCCAGCCGCCTTTGTCTCCCAAGTGCCGATGTTAATACGCCACACCAGTTACTCGTTTGAGGCTGAGTGGACCTAGGGGAGGTTCAAATAATCGTCACCGGTGGTGGCCGTGAGCGGGAATGGAACTGGGTTCGCCGGGTTGGTAGCGCAGCGTAGCGTTAAGCACTACACCCACCGCTCCTCACACACCACACACGCACAGACACACACACAGACACACGCAGACACACACAGACAGACACAGACAGACACACACACACACAGACACACAGACAGCACGCTAAGCACTACACTACCGCTCCCCACACACCACACACGCACACACACAGACACACACACAGACACACGCAGACACACACAGACAGACACAGACAGACACACACACACACAGACACAGACAGCACGCTAAGCACTACACTACCGTTCCCCCTACACAACACACGCGCGCGCGTCCATAGGTACACATACACGCGCTTGCTGCAGACACACACGACTTTCAGGGTGCGTAAGGCAGTAAACGAGTGAAATAATAAAGCGGCAATGCTGTGCGAGGAACGCCTTAGACCAGCAACACATTTGTGTAATGCGAGCGTAAACACACAAACACATACAAACACATACACACATATACATACACACACATACACACAAACACATACACACAGACATACACATACACACAAACACACACATACATGCACACAAACACATACACAATACACACACACATACATGCAGACACAGACAGACACATAACACACATACATACACATACATAGACACACACATACATAGACACACACATACATACACACAAACACATGCACACACGTACATACACACATACATAGAGACACGCAGACATACACATAAAGACATAAAAAAAAACCCACATACATACACACACACATACACACAAACACATACATACACATACATACACACATACATAGAGACACACAGACATACACATAAACACAAACACACATACACATGACCCGGCTTCGCCCGGGACTTGGATCCACGATGCCCCGCCGCCTTTGTCTCCCCAGTGACGATGTTCACACACGACAGCAGTTACGCTTTTGAGGCTGAGTGGAGCTAGGGGAGGGCCAGGTCCGTTTCAAATAATCGTCAGCGGTGGTGGGCGTGAGTTGGAATCGAACTGGGGTAGCTCAAGCAGCTTAATGACTGTTTGTACAAAGAACATATAAAGAATCGATTATAATAACCAGGCAAGAGTCCACATTATAGACTGCCAGTACACGCACTCAGCTTCATAAGCAGGCTAGAGTGTACATGATAGAGTGGCAGTACGCTCACCGAGCTTAATAAGCAGGCTACAGTGTACATGATAGACTGGCAGTACGCTCACCCAGCTTAATGAGTATTTGTACAGTGAACATTAAAGTAATCGATTGTTGGCGCGTTGGGTTTAAAAGTAATATTAATAGCACACATTGTGGTGGGGGTGTAGTGAAGAGTAGGAAAAACTTTGATGAATTTACCTCAGAGTGGCGTGGTGGGTGTCGAGGCCTAGTAGCGTGCAAAGCCTGCGGCCTCGCCTAAAATTGTCGGCTTGGAAGAGGCAGGGTACGGGTGGCGTTCCTTCCCCCCCCCCTAGCGCTCCAACAATACTGTGTAATGGCTATTATTTAATTAAATACGGAGCTTATGAAAGTGGCGAAGGCGTGGCTAGCCGTTGGCAGGGGCAACCGCCGTCCAATGAAACTGCAGCCCTTGGCGAAGGCGTGGCTAGCCGTTGCCAGGTCCAATGAAAGCGGCGAAGGCGTGGCTAGCCGTTGCCAGGGGCAACCGCCGTCCAATGAAAGTGCGTATGGGCCAAAGTCCACACACACACACACAGACAGACAGACATGAACGATTTTATATATATAGATCAGACAAATCCTCTGAATGCAAATTGATTCTAAATGTGGAGAGAAAACGCGAGGAACCAGAGGAAAATCCACGCCACCACGAGGAAAGAGAAGTGGGCTCGACCTGGTGAAATGAAATTAGTTTAACAGTTTTAATATTCTACTAAACCCTCCTGCTGAGTACTCGGGCAAGTGCTGTTAGCGAGCAGCAGCACCTATTAAGGCCTGCACGGCACACGAGGGGGTGGGTGGTCAGCGCCACGCCCGGCCGCCTTTGTCTCCCTCGTGCCAAATTTTTACACATCACACCAGCAGAGGGCAGTGCAGCCTGAAGCATTGTTGTACTACACATCTACGCTTCCACGTTCACGATCTCCACCATCGCCAACCACCACCGACGAGAGCGGTGAAGTATGGTCAAATAACCCCCCCCCCCCCAGGACGCGCACGGCGCGGCGAGGCGCTCATCCAGCAGCAGAGTGACACACTATGTTTGTGCGTGGATGTGAGAGTGTGCGAGGCTGTGACACACAATGTCTGTGTGTGAATGTGAGAGTGTGTGAGGCTGTGACACACAATATCTGTGTGTGGATGTGAGGCTGTGGTGGCTGTGGTACAGGCGTCGTGTTTGTAGAGAGATGCTGTGAGAGTGGCGTTCACATCGTGGTTCTGGCATCATCACCACTCTTCGCTACCACTGGACACACACACCCATGGTCATGTTAGTGTGGCACTATTATTATATGATTATTATTCACGATTAATAAACAGTATGTGTACATAGATACTAGCGAATAATTGTATGTGTGCACAGATACTAACGAATATTAGTATGTGTACACTAATACTAACGAATACTAGTATATGTACACCCATACTAAGGAATATTAGTGTGTATACTAATACAAACGAATAATAGTCCCGTATGCATTTGTCATATGCGTGATAATCAAAGTGTTACTTATCAACGCATCACGTGGTGCGGTATGACCACAACAACACAACAGACAACACAACACCAGCGTGTGTGTGTGTACACGCCACGTGTGTCCGTGTGTACACGCTATGGGCAATGCTCATGCCCCTACTGCGCACGCGTCGCCGTGACTGCTGTGCGAGCATCGTCGCTGTCCTCACCACAGATGGACGCTCGCCGACTCTGGACACAAACTCAGCCCACGACCGCCTCCAGATTTCCTCAGATCTCAAGACGGTGACGCGGAGCGATGTCCCCCAGGGTCACCCCCATCAGCCACACCGCTTTGATGTATATCCACAAGCCCTGTGCTTTGAGAGCTTCTCGTCGGGTCAGCACTACTGGGAAGTGGACGTGAGGAGTGCGAGGCTGTGTTGGGTTGGAGTCGCGTACGGGACGATCCCGCGGAGAGGGTTTGGTGCTGAGTGCCGCCTGGGAGGGAGTAACGTCTCCTGGTGTATACAGAAACATGGCGACAGCTTCTCAGTGTGGCATGGCGGGGTAAAGACCTCACTGTCGGTGCTGGAGCCTCCGCGGAGAGTCGGGGTCCATCTGGACTGGGACGCGGGGCTGCTGTCATTTTACAGTGCTGACTCCATGGCGCCGTTGCACTCGTTTCACCAAACCTTCGCTCATCCCCTACATCCTGGGATGCTGGTGTGGGGTGATGATGGTGACTCAGTGAGGATTGTGGATCTGAGTGGTGCGTCCTGATGAGAGGTGAACGTGAACAGCGCAGAGGGCAGACGCCACGACGCACGGCGCTCGCGACCCTCGTCACCGTCACGCGCAGTGCCACGCCCGTGACTGGCTGGTGGCTGTCGGTGGCTAGGGGCTGCGTCGCTCTCCATCACAACAGGGAGGCCTGAGCGTAAACAAACCTCACAAACTTCATGGAGGGGAGGGGGGGGTGATACCGCTGTGTGTGTGTGTGAAGCCCACGTGGATGTATTCACCCTGCCAGAGGAGTGTGACTGTAGTGTAGGAGTGCAGTGATTAACAATGGTGATCTGGGATGTGTTTATACACTGGTGGTGTGGGAGCGATCCAACAACAATAATAATATTAATGTTAAAAGGTATAAATGTATGCGCATTACAATGGCATTGTAACGCTTATATCGTCGATTCTACTGTAAAAATACAGAACACAAACAACAATATAGTTGTGTACAGCGCCATTCGTGCTCATTGCATCCCGCAACGCTGTTAATTAATTAAACACGAGGACAAAATCCTCTACACAGCCACTGCCAAGCAAATTAAATCTACAAATGAATAAACAAATAAAGAGATGGCGCCAAACACAAAAGGTGCCAACAATGTTCGAGCTGTTCAAGTTATCTGCTGCGTCATGGTGACATCACCACGCACGCTCTCCCAACGCGGTGACGTCACCCCCCCCCACGCCCGCTCCTCGCCACTGCACCATCTGTGAACACAAAGAGCTTCACAGCTTATCGGATTCCTCCTGCACTACAACAGATTCTGATATTCTGGATTCCCGCCCCTGGGGGAGTCCCGCTTTGGCGACAAGAAAAACAGAGGGTCAACCTGCAGTCTCGGACCCAGCACTGTGAGGGGGAGGGGGGTTGGCGGATCACGAACTGACACTGCTGGGAACTCCCCGCGGGGGCGAGTCGTCGAGGTGCCACGTGGCCCTGGTGCTCACCAAGAGGAGGCGGTAGAGCAGCTACAACAACCACCATCACAACCACCACCACAACAACTACCAAAACAACCACAACCACAACAACCACCACAACAACCACCACATCCACTACAACTACCACACCAACCAGCACAACCACCACAACGACCACCACAAGAACCACCAATAACCACAACTACTACCACAACAACCACCACAACCAACACAACAATCACCACCACAACAACCACCACAACCACCACCGCAACAAAAAACACAACTACAACCACCAGCACAACCACCACCACAACAACTACCAAAACTACCACCACCACAACCACCATCACAACCACCAAAACCACAACTACCACAACAACCACCACCACAACGACAACGACCACAAAAACCACCACTACAACAACCACCACAACCACCACAACAACCACCAAAACAACCACAACCACCACAACAACCACAATAACAACCACCACCACAACAAGCACCACCACACCAACCACCACAGCCACAACAACCGCCACAACAACCACCACAACAACCACCACAACAACCACCACAACGACCACAACAACGACCACAACAACCACCACTACAACAACCACCACCAAAACCACAACAACCACCACAAAAACCACCACTACAACAACCACCACAACAACCACCAAAACAACCACAACCACCACAACAACCTCAATAACAACCACCACCACAACAACCACCACCACACCAACAACCACAGCCACAACAACCGCCACAACAACCGCCACAACAACCGCCACAACGACCACAACAACGACCACAACAATCACCACTACAACAACCACCACCAAAACCACAACAACCACCACAACCACAAAAACCACCACAACAACCACCACCAAAAACCACCACAACAACCACCTCCACAACAATCACACAATCACCAAAACAACCACAACAACCACAATAACAACCACCACAACCACAACCACCACCACCTCACCAACCACCACAGCCACCACAACCACCACAACAACCACCACCGCAACAATAACCACAACCACCACGACAACCACCGTAACAACCACCACAACAACCACCACAACGACCACAACAACCACCACTACAACAACCACAACCAGCGCAACAACCACCATCACAACCACAACAACCACCACAACCACAAAAACCACCACAACAACCACCACCACAACAACCACTAAAACCACCACAACAACCACCACCACAACCACCACAACCACCACCACAACAACCACCACAACTACCTCCACAACAATCACACAACCACCACAACAACCACAACAACCATCACACCAACCACCACAACAACCATCACAACCACCAACACAACAACCATCACAACCACCAACACAACCACCGCAATCACCTCCACCACAACCACCGCAACCACCTGAGAGCGTTAATAAGCAATGGAGCGTGTGTTGGTTCCGCTGGTCCCCGAAGTCCCTCCCTGCTCCCTGCCTATGGCAGGCGCTCCGCCGTTCGCCGACCCCTCGCTACTCTGCGAGCAGCTGCTGCCGTCGCTGGGCTCATCGCCCGACGGCTCCCCTCCCAGGTCCATCCCTCCGCGAGCTCGTGTGAGAGGCATAGCTCGTCGCACGCTCTCGTTTACCTGCAAACGCTGCGTTGTCTCTCCACGAATCACGCGCTATTAAATGGGGGTCAGGGGTCGGAGGGCGAATGACACTGCCCTCACACTGCGCGAGTCCCTGCGGCGATAGACGGAGCGGGGACCTGCGGATGCACCGACCCCTTCTCCCACACTCCGAGCGCACACACCTGCACACACGCGACACCCACTAGTGCGCCGCTCTACGCAGCGCTCCAACGTGACGAGCCGCTGTGCACACAGCACCACACGCGTTCCCACTTCTCCGCGAGATCACACGGAGACACGGTCAGCTATTAATAATTTATTGTCTGCTACCTGCGAATTGATGTTAAATCAGTGAGTCGACGAGGCTGGCCTATTCCACTACCCCCGTACCTATTTCCTATTTATCGGCTATGATCCTACTTCTCCTCCTTACTTACTGTTAGGTGCCCACGGCGGTTCGTTGATCCCGTACTCGCAGCGTACCTCGATGCGTCCCACAGACGTTCGGGTCGCTGGACTGGAGAGCGTCCTGTCGCCTGGCGCTGGAGTGAGAGCGCGATTTTCCCTTTGCGCCCCCTTTTTATCTTCCCTACATCGAAGGGATGCGGCTCTCAGTCTTTCCTTAACAATGGGCTCGCGTCCGCTAGCACGCGCACGGCGGTTCCGGGCGCCTTTGATATGCTAATCAATGTGTGGCATGCATGGCATAAATTCTAATTAATCCCTTTCTCACGCAGGCCTTTATTATTGCAGATTATGCAGCGGCGTCCATCACAAAGGCTCGCCGTGGGAATTTGTGCAAGGGCTCCCTGCGGGCCTCCCCTCTCCCGATCTATTCATACTTTCAGCTTAATCCTTTACCTTCCCTAACAATGGTGCCTGCGCGCTCAAGCGTAATTATCCTAACCATCCGCGACTCTGCGCAAGAGCCCCTGCGGTCCTGCTAATCATGCCGTCCCGTCCCTCCCCTGCCTGCCCCGTCGATACGTGGGGGGTGTGTGTGGGGGATGCGCTTCAACCGCGGTGGCCGAATGCCCCTCGCCGCAACCATACCATCTTAAGGCCGGTCGCAGCGCCATGGTGCAACGTAGCGTCGGGGGAGGTCGTCCAATTCCCTGATTGCCGGAAACAGTGAGAGTTAATCCCGATAAGGGTTTCTCGGATAAAAACCAGTCGATCAGGTGAGCTCCCCTTCCAGCTCTATGGGGGGGGGGGGGGGGAATGCATGCGGGTGTGTTCATGTGAGGTGAGGTGAAGGGGACGAGGGGTTGGCTCCGTCGCATGGTGGTGGCGAGGTCGGGGATGGGGTGCCAGCCAAACGGCTTCGTGGCGGCGGCATCACATAGCCTCCCGAGGTGCCAGTCCCCGTCCCGGGTTGACTGGAGCACCTTGCTTGGGCCGCGCCCACGAGGAAACATTGCGGGGTAAGGGGGATCCATCCGGACCTTGTGGCTGGTCTCAGGGTGGGTGGTTCCGTCCTCTGTAGCTCCTGCAGCGGCCTCCTCCTCCACTCCAGCGGCTCTCCCCGTCCTCCGGCACCTGTGGGCTGAGGCACAAACTCAGCAGCGGAAGGGTTTAGGGGCCGTCGTCCGCGCCGTCTCCTGACTGGATCGGGGCGTCTCGGGGGCCCGGCGGGGCCCATGTAGTCTGCGAGGCCCCCCAACACGAGGGGTGCGGGTACTCCGGGATTTCGGGGCCTTCGGATGACGGGGTTCTCTCTCGCCGGGGCCGCTTTCCACGATTTTAAGCGGCGGACGTTGACCACCGTCTCTCGACTCCTCTCCCCGCCATAAATTAGTACCGTCCAGGGGCAGATCTGCCGCACCACGGTCCAGGGTCCCCGCCAGTAGGTCGTCAGTTTCCCCACCTGCCCAGCCCCGACGCGAGGGGTGTGTAGCCACACCTTAGCGCCTGTTAGGAATAAGGGGGGTTCCATGCGGGGTCGGGTGCCCTGTTCCTGCCGCCGATGCGCGGCTTCCCCTTGCGGGTATGCTCGGCCTCGGGCTTCTCACAGGGTCTCCAACAGGTGTTCCACGGGGCGGCTTCCCTCCTCCGGCTGGGGGGAAGGAACGCCGAATAGCAGATCTGCGGGTAAACGAGACTCACAGCCGAACATCATTAAAAACGGGGTTTGTCCTGTCGACGTGTGTACGGTGGTGGCATAGGCGAAAAGGGCGTAGGGGAGGTGTTCGTCCCAATCCCGTTGATTTGCGGCCGCCATACGTTTGAGTTTCCCCGCTAGGGTCTGATTCATGCACTTTACCATACCGTTCGCTTGGGGGTGGTACGCTGTGGTTCGGTCGTTCTGGATTCCGAATTCTCGGCACAGTGCCTGGAACAGCTCGGCTTCGAACTCGCTACCCTGGTCTGTGAGGACTCGTTCTGGGATCCCGTGCTTAAGTACGTAATGCTCCACGAATGCCCGGGCCACCACCAAGGCCGTTTTATCAGGGATGGCCACTGCCACGGTGTAGTGGGTGAAATATTCTACTTCGACTAGGATATATCGGTTGCCTCGATGGGATCGCGGGAATGGCCCCTGTAGGTCGATCCCGACCAGCTGATTCGTGCGGCTGACGCGGAACAGCCTTAGGGGTACCTGGTATCGTGCCGGTTTCGGCCCGCACTGCTGACAGGCGTGGCAGCCCTGTTCCCAGGCCGCCACGTCTTGTGCCAATTTGGGCCAGAGATACTGGCGACGCAGGGTCTCTCGAGTGAGTCATTCCCCATCGTGGCCCCCGAGTCGGTGGTCATGCACCAGCCATAGCAGCTGGGGTCGCACCTGGGCAGGAACACAGATGCACCCTGGCTGGCCAGACTCAGTTAACTCCCGTACCACTCCGTTCTGCACACACAACCAGGCAGTGCCGCCTCCACTGCCGCCAGATCGGGATCCCGCTGCTGGGTCTG